AAAAAAAAAATAAATAAATAAAAAGGGGTTCTAAGAGCTGTAGGAAATTAAAAGGGGAAAGTAAATAAACAAAATAAAAGTAAAAATAAAAATGGAATAAAATAAAAAATAAATAAAAATTTGATTTAATTAAATCTCAAATTTAATACAAATCAATTTCGCTGAATTGGTACATTTGTGCTAAACAAATGTAAGTAAATGCAATAAAATTAAAAAGAGGTAGAATACAGTCAAAACAAAAATAAACAATAACACAAGTAAAACCCAGTATGTGGGTGGGTCCCACAGGGACCTGTGGTGGCGTCAACAGGAAGTGACACCAGGGGAGAGAGGGAGAGAGAGGTGTGGTTAGAAAGTTACACTTTACACGCCTATCTAAGCGTTAGTCAGATGCTAACAGCTAGGTAAAGGGCAACCGGAAGAGTCTGCTCACACTTCCGGGGTCACGTGTTGCTAGGAGACCAATGCAAGCTCACAACAGGTGCATGTGGAGCAGACTTGCACTGCTGTGAGCATGCATGGGAAACTCATACAAATACATACAAATTCATTCATTAATCAAAACAGCACATTCACTTCACAGGCAATGGTGGATTCGTAGTTAGCTACGCTAGAATAACACCATTAATTTTACGTAAATGTTTCACATGAGCGAGTCAAAATGAAATACAATGATACGTAACACATAAAAAGGCCTTAAATTAATGAAATGAGAAGTATCGCTCAGATCACCTACACAGTGCTGAAAAAGAGGATTTCTTCGCCCAAGATCAGACTGATGTATTCTGGTACCATTTATATGGGCTGCTAATCTGAGGTTTACCCATCAGAAAATAGACTTATGCTCCACTAACAACAGAGATTAGGATTTCTTCGCTAAAATCAGGTTAGTTTCTTATCGTACAATTTAAACACATTATAGCACTGAAACTTTCTACTACCTGTAGGAAGGCACATTCAAGCTATAGTTTTATCTGATTTTGATCAGAACCTGGTGCGCGCATGTATAATAGTTCCATAAATGTTTCACATGAGTGGGTCGATATGAATACAATGATACA